CCTTTCCCGCCGGGCAGCTCCCAGCCGCTCCTCCCCACGCCTGCAGCGGTGCCTGGGGTTGCTGTGCCCCCAGTGCAGGACCCGGCCCTGAGCCCTGCTGACCCTCACCCCGTTGGCCCCGGCACATAGCGTTTCAGTCTGAAGCACGACAAAAGGCAAAACTCCCGAGGTCTCTGCCCTACAAGTTACAGCATTCACTCCAGCGGTCCCTCCGCATCGATGAAGCCACCCTGCAAAAGGCACCTCTCACACCCGCATCGGTGGCTACGAGAGACAGCTCGCCTTTCTTCGTCTCTTTCTGCCCTCGGAAGATGAAGCACCGACCTCAGCAGTTCAAAAATAAATTTCAACTGCATTAATTATACGGAGGTCTGGAAGAAAAGCATCTGTCTGCTGCATGAAGTTCAGTCAAATCCCCACCTCTGAGAAGCAGACGATTTGTATGAGATCACCACCGACGGCAGCCTGATCACCTGCGACCGGCCCAGCAGCCGCCGGGGCTTCTGAAAGATTTCACCTCTGAATTTGTAGAGAACTTCCCCGTTATTTTAGATTGCAGGGCCCACCGGAGGGGCAGGTTGACCACCACAGGACAACTCTCCTGGGCATTGGGACCGAGGCTTTCGGTCTCCAGACCCGTAAAGTTACCCACGCAGGACAGCTCGGCACGAGGCAGGCGGGCCAGGCCGCTTTGGCGTGGAAGTCCTCCCTCTCTGCTTCCGAACCCAACGATCATCAAGCCAGAATTAGATTTCTCACCACCTCTGACAGCAGCTTGAAGGCACTTAATTCTTAATTTTTTTTTTTCCAGGGTTCAAAGCTTTCCATGACAACTAGACAGTAACTCGTTCGTTAGCATTCATCACTGGTGACACGGCTCACGGGCTGACAGCGGCGTGCACCGCAGACTGACGGACACATATCTGCAGGCTGCGTCTTGTCAAGTCGCATTTAGAATTCAACTTAAGCTCCTCTCCCATTTACCCCATAAACGCATTAGCGGAATAAAAGGCGGTTATTTTATTCTTTGAATACGGTACAAGAGAGGCCAGCTCCTCGCCGGCACTGGTAATGCTCTTCACCACGGACAAAGTCACTTCTCGTGAGCAAAGCCTGGCGACCCTCCCGCCATCTCCCGTGTGAGCACTGAGAGCTCATTTATATCTGTGTTTTAACAACGCCCTTAACCCTAAAATATTTAGGTTGAGATGCACTGGGTCTTATTCGTCAACCAGCAGCTACCAACTGCGATCCCTCACAATTTCAGCCTAGTCGGGAGCACGTTACACTGAAGGTTTTCTTGAATAGTTGCAAACCCTTGATCAAATCAGGCACCTGATGGTTTAGGACTGGCACTAAGGAGGGGGGATCATCTCACGGACTTTCAGACATCAGCAATGGGGGATGTGAAGCCCTTGGTAGCCTCCCATAATAGACGTGGCCACTCTCTACCACTCAAATCCCTCCAACTAGCCCGAATTTTCTTTCGGTTCGCTCAGCAGTTTTGGTCCTGGTGCACGGGTCAGTGTGTGAGACCATCGACTATCTGCAGCATAGCTCCGGCGAGACACCACCTTACTGTCTCCTCCCCAGTCCTCTCAGAGCAGACAACCTGCTGCCAGGGAAAAGACGCTGATACAGATTCCCCCCTCCACGCTCAGAAAAGCCATGCCTGCACTGCCCGGCTACGCTGCTCCTGAAGGCCACACCAATGAGGACATCCCGCGTGGGAGTGCCATCGCTCCAGCCACACCACAAGCCCGTAGGTCCTTCTGGACCACCTTAGGAGCATCAGTAAGGCACGAGGTGCAAAATCTATCCTAAAAGTCCTTCAGCACCTCTAGCAAGGGCTTTTCAGCATGCCTAGCTCCAGACTCACCTCTGCTTCACAACTCCAACGCGTTGCCTCATATAAAGGGACGCTGCGTGACCTTCACCACTGACTTCTACGGCCACAGCAAAACGGAAAGCAAGAGAGAAGGTCTGGCCGCACGCAAAGGCACGTGAGGCCAAGTGCGCGGCCGTGGCTGTCCAGAACAGCTAGAGTCAAAGCCCACCAGCCCGGGCTCTTCCACCCCTGGTCGTTAGGTAGGAGGCCTGTCAATCCTACCTTTGGTGCCGGGCAGGAGGTGTGCCATCTGTCCGAGCCCGTGAAACAGGAGAACTAAAGGTGCTACGGCCGGGCTTTGTACCTGGGAAAGCTCTAGCACAGGTCACTGATCTGTGCACAGTCCTTCTGGAAGATCCAGTGCTGGATTCCTCTGGAGACATCCTGCATCTCCAGCACTTGGTGCCACCACGGTCAGCTTGGTGCTACGGCGTCAGAGATCTGGAAGCGGCAGCGCCTACGGACAGCAGGAGGTAGGGGATGGAGGGCGGTGGGGCAGGCACTGCCCTGGTGCCCCAGGGGACACGTGCAGATGATCTCCCTGCTCCTAGAGATGGACATCTAGCTACCAAACAGAAGCCATCATTAGCACAATGTGCCTCAATTAAGCCTTTGATTACCCTGCCCCAGCAGCTGACTTGTTGCCATTTTTGGCATCCAGCATCTGCACCAGAACGTCAGGCCCTTCTGATCATACAAGTCCTTACGAGTTCTGATACTGTCAAGCCGCCCTTCTTGGACCCCGTCCTCATGGCCGTCAACACCAAAGCGATCCCTCTACTCCCATTTTAGCTGACAGGCTATGATATATTTTGAGGTCCACGCATCTTCCTCATTTTAAGAGAAATGATCCCAAGTCCCAGTGCAGGACTTTCATCCACAACCTTGCAGCCCAGGGGCGAGCCATGGGTACCGAACGAGTCATACGGTAACACACGACGACTTGTAAGTTCCTTGGTAACTCCATCCATCTTCCCTGCCTGATCTCAGTGACTACCTTGAATGAATGTTCTGGGAACATTCGTGTTCCCAGCGACGCCAGGTAGCCCCCTCCACGCACTGCACACGCCGTCAGCGTTCCCCTCCGGGCAATGACCTTTCACGAAAAGTTGAGCAGAGGACCACAAATGCTAGACGCAAGGTGGTCACGGAGTGAAAGCCGGAGGCCCAGATCTGCTCCGCTCCGTGTTAACGACCCTCTACACCATTTCCCCCCAGCGATAAGAAACGTTTCCTTAGCTCTTAAGATAGCTGGGAAGCTCAAGCTTAATAAGCACGGATATCATCTCTCACGGGCAAAACCTGGTGTTCCAAAAGCTTGGCCCCGTTTCGGGCTGCGATCCAGCTCCACAAACAGGAAGGACTCGCCGGTCTAATAACAACGCGGTGCGCATTCAGCCTCCCTCTCCCATCATCTTTCAATCCAACCTCCTGCTTTTGGGACGTGCCGTCCCCTCCAGGCGCTTCTGCACCAGCCAGACGTTCCTGGAATCACAAATATCGATCGTACCTATCCAATTTGCAGGTAATGGGACATTCAAGCAAATTAGCCTTTAGGAAAGGTAACGGCGCCATCAAAATAGAGAGTAACTGCGCTCGTCAGCGTAAAGCACGTGAATGTCATTGGAATAAGCAAGGGACTTGCAAAAGCAGATGACAGTCACAAAGCACGGTCTAACAATGCGGTCCCTGGGTAAAAATCGCGGGTTTCCCAGGAAGAAGGAGTGGAATTACTTCCCGATTTCCAAGGCAGCTGTGGGGGCCAAGTAAGGAAGGCAGTGGAGATGGCGGAAGGCGCCTTCCTCTTCTGCACCAGCCCAGCTAATAGTTACGAATACAGGAGGGGGGTCGAAACGCGGGATTCTCGGGCCCACACACCTCCCGGTTCTCTCCTCCTGCTGCCAGGT